CTCTTCGGACTGAACCTCCGGGCTGGAAGCGGCCGGGGGACCCCGCAGTGTCGGTGCGCGCCAACAGTGAGCCCCGGGCGTACACCTTTCGCCCGCTTTTCAGATGAGGACCCTGGGGACGGACGTTCCTTTCCCGGGGCCACCCATTGGTTGCAGCTGCTCGGCCGCCTCCCGTTGGGGTGGGTGGTCCCCAAGCCCTAACCCCCCAGTGTCCCTCCTCCTATCGAGCCGGGCGTCCAAGCGTCCAAGCTGGCATCCCCCTCGTGGGTGGCAGGAGAAGGGACTGCAGGTCTCCGAGGGCCCCAAGCGGGGAAGGGACCTCCAACTCCCCCACCGAGAACGGCGTGCTGGCAATGGAAGGAGAGCGGCCCCCTGTCCCAGTGTGGCCGGCGTTCGCCCACCTGTCTCCCCATCCTGCCTCTTGGGGCTGTTGTCCTCAGTGTCCGCAGGCACTTGAGAGCGTGGCAGCCCGAGGAGGCCCACAGAGACCCGCACTGCCCTTGCGGGGGGCGGGTCACTTTTAGGCCACCTTCCTCCTCCAACCCCAGCGCGGCTCCCAGAGGATGGATGAGGCACGAGTACTCTGCAATGCGGAGGGTGCAGGCAAACGGAAATCCACTGGGGGACCCGGGAAAGACTCTGCCCCTCTTTGGGCCTCAGTTTCCCTTCCTCCATTTATAAAATGAGAGAATTGGGCCGAGCCCCCTCCCCTTCAGCTCTGACATCATGCTTGGGAAAGGGAAGTTTTCCTGCCCATCCTCGCCACACTCCAGCAGGAGGAGGGACAGACTGGCTGTCTGTGCGGAGTGGGAGTATGGGGGTGGGGGTCCACCCTGCTGCCCACACTCACCCTCGCTCTTGCCCGTTTCCCCGAGTTCGGCCCTGAGCGCCCTCTGGTGTCATCTCTCCCACCTTCCAGGCATTTACCAGTATTTCCGTAGGGCGTTTTGTAAGATAAAGAAACTATAATAATATTAATGAAAAGTATAAAATGTATAGAGTTTTCAAGAAAGTGTGTTCTACTTCCAGAAAATGGTCACTTTAACTTTGTAAATATTTACCTAAAATGATATTTACAAAAACTGTGGTATATATTATTTGATTGTATATGTATAACTGTAAATACATTTGTACCTCTCTTGTATTCTAAAATAAAAATTACTTGGAGCATTTATCACTTAGCATCTGAATGGGCTGACACTTTTGTCTACATGAAAAGGAAATATGGAGAGCGCCTGGAAGCTGGAGAGCGGGTGGGAGGAGTTGTCCATTGTGCCATCTATAAGAAAAAATCTTCCTGTCGCAAATGGGGTGTCAACTCCCACAGGCAAAGCAATCGGCCTCCAGAGTCTAGGACACCTCAGGAGGAGCTGGGCTGACTCCCACTTCCCAGCTGACTCTCAAATATAGGGTCCCACTTTGTCACTTCCCCAAAATTTTTACTTACTCCCCCCGCCCCCCGCCATGTTCATGGACAACTTGAAGGAATTCAAGCAGCCAGTGGGGGAGACCAAGATGGACACCAAGTGCCCGCCCAATGCATAGAATTCCCAAATGCTCAGACACCCACTTCAGAGCTTCCGTGAAGAGGACCAAAGAGCACAGAGGCCATCAATGCAGGACCAGGCCTTGGCTCCTCCCTCCAGGGGGGTATGACACCGGGCAGTGTGAGCTCACACCTGTGTTCCAGTACACGCCAGCCGTGAGGGTGTCACCCTTTCAGGCTACTGGCATCCTCATCTAGCCCCACGCGTGCGCACATATACACACACAACTGTAGACACTGAATGCACACTGGCTCACACAGGACACCCCCCTTTGGAGCTTCAGCTGTGTACTCCCAAAGATCCCCCTACTTTGGGGGACTGCACCCTAGCAGGCGGAGGCATGGGCAGAAATGTACATTTAATGTATTCATTTGCATATCCCATCTGGGGTTTCCTTCCAGGGGGGGCCGTGGGGGAAGTCACCCTTGGTTCTCCTCCTCCTGCTCCCATCACAAACCTTGCCTTTGCTTTGATACCTCACCCCTAGGTTTCTGATGCCTCTGGTGGCCCCTGGCATTACCATCCTCCCACTGCAGCCCCCACCCAGGCATCTAACCAAATGGGTGACATAGCATTAAGCACTCCCCTCCACCCTCACCCTACAGATCACAGGGACCAGAACCCACCTGGTGTCAGTAGGCTGTAATTGCAGCCTAAATGCATATGATAAGTCAGCTGCAGACATCTCCCCCTGCTGGAGGTACAAGGATGAGCCGGCAGGAATCTGGTCATGAAAAATTTGCTATACCCACAATTCCCTAGAATCTGGAGGCAGGGCATAGCACGCAGGGCCACACGGGGAAGCAGTGGGGTCAATTAGGAGGCGGAGGAGCAAGGGGGAAAGGTGGAAAGAGCCCTCATGAATTCAATTAGTGTCTATAACAGAGACCCCAGAGCCTTCCCTCACTCCTCAAGCCAAGCGAGGACACAGTGAAAAGACAGCTATCTATGAACCAGGAAGCGAACCCTCACCAGATACCCAATCTGCCAATGTCTTGATCTTGGACTTCTCGAACTCCCAAACTGTCAGGAGTAAATTTCTGTTGTTTATCAGCCACTCAGCCCAGGGTATTTTGATATAGCTGCCAAAACAGACTAAACAGTATCCATAATGCCATCGTGACAGGCTCTGTAAATGCGAGTGCTGTGAGAATGGGAGGGATTAAGGTTATGTCTATCCCTCGGAGGATGAAACTGAATAATGTGAAGACTATACCCCTTCCTTGGCCAACTGGAACTCCCAGGCCTACCTCCCTAGCCGGTTCAAAGGACACTACCGCCCTCTTATGGTCGAGGCTGGACTCAACAGATGGACCCTTCTCACACCTGCAGTCATGAGCTTTGCTTAGTGAAAGAAATGCTGTCTCTTTGGAGATTTAGCAAACAATTAGTCTATGGGTCTTCAGGAGGCAGCAAGCCTGATACTGTGAACACAGTGCACAGGACTGATGCAACTTATTTCATTCAATCCTCGTTAGAGTCCATGTGTCTGAAGAATGATCATCTCCAATTCCCTGAGGTTTGGTGTGAATGCTATAAACCCCCGCAGGGAAAGGGTGAGGGGAAGGGTAGAGGATGGGGAGAAGGGAGGGGAAAGTGCTCCTGTTAAACAGGACATGAAGACAGAGCCACACACATCTCTCTCTCCACCACGGAATCCTTAGAACACAGAGAGCATGTCTGAGGAAATATCAGCGAAGATCTTCGTATTATGTGCCCACTTGCCTACCAAATGTACCTGCCTTGCAAGGTTTGAATGTTTTCTCAGTTTGTTTTTACAAAAGAAGTGTTGGAGTATAGAGTAAATCAGCTCATTCAAAAGTCGCCATGAAAGAACGAAGCGGCACCCAGAGCACCTTTCGGGGGTGTAGATGATGGTGGCTGCTGAGCCAGCCCCACGGGGCAGCTGTGATGTGGAATTCTGGCGTCACTACTAGTAGGAGCAGCACGAAAGCGGGCTCTTCTTTCCGTCCATAGTGTGGTCCTCCTGCGCTCATTCCCACAATGAGCTGGAAGGAAACTCAGAGGGCCATTTCTCAATTATCTCTGACCCTGGAAAACCATAAACTGGACGATGACTGCGAGGCCGTTTTGGCAAGAAGTCCAACACCGTACGTGAGATTTTATTACCCAGGGGCAGGCTTCCCGTAGTAAAAATGGCGATGCTGCTCCCTCCTTCCCTTAATGTGAGCCTAACTGTTGCCAATAGTGATCATGGACGCCAGAGCACGAGTTCCCATTGGCTGCTGCTCCGAGGCCCCTCCCCCTCCCCGAGCATCGGCCGGGAATTGCGAAACGAGATCTCGCGGCTCTCGGCCGGGTCGCGCCTGCGCAATTCATTGGCGCCAAGATGGCGATGGAGATGAGGCTCCCGGTTGCTCGCAAGCCTCTTAGCGAGAGCCTGGGCCGTGAGACTAAGAAACACCTGGTGGTACCGGGGGACACCATCACCACGGACACGGGCTTCATGCGGTGCGT